CCAGCTCCTCCAGCTCCTTCACCACGGCCCGCAGCACGGCCGCCTTTGAAGGTGCTGCAAACTCCTGCTTTACACTGCCTGCTGTCTCCTGTGATGCCTTTCTGCTTTCTGCTGCCTCCACGCGCTGCTATAGATAACATTAGAATAATATGGATATTTAATTAGCACCTCTGCGCACACAAATATAGTCTCACCCTTTACATTTGCAACAATAACAATGCACAACCGCGGAAAAAGTGACATGTGTTTGTAAGAAGAAACTCGCCACATAAGCGCTGAATGCCAACGTGCGACTGAACAACGGCCAATTGTATCAATAAGAATATAGCCAAAGCATATACGCAGGGGGGGGGGCGCATACAATGGCCAAAAAGCCAAAATAATTGAATCATTTGTTACTTACAAGCTTCTTACGCAACGTGCGCAGGCGTTTGTGGATGGCATCTGGGCCTGCCCCAGCATCACTCACTGCTGGTCCAGGCGAAGGCGACGGAGAAGGCATGGTAACTGCCTGCTGCGCTGTCAGGTTCTTGGCAGCGTCATCATTGACACTCTCCACACTACTGCTCTTCAACTTTCTCGCCATCCGTACAATAAACTAGCGTTTAGATACACTTGCAAGGTTGTAAGGTAGTAGTATCCTTAAACACGTAACAACAGAGTAAAAGATGGAAGCGGGAGAGTGTTGCAGCTCACGCGTTATCGTGTGAACTTCAAGTTCTGAAGCCAACCTAAACGATGACGCTTATGTTCCAAGAAGAAGAAAGGTTTACCGCTTGTATTTCAATATTTCTTAGTCTAACAGCCTCGAGATGCAAATGCAAATCAGGCCAGAGTGGCTTCTTGGAGGAATGTGGGGAAGCAGGGATATCCTTCGTGTAGCAATAGTAAACAGAGCTGTGAAGAAAACAGAGAGAGAAAAAAAAAAAAAAAAAAAAGTTGGAAACAACCAAAGCAGATTCTTCTGGTCAACTTTAAAAGACCAAAAGACACTGAAAGTACTGTAAATTAGCTCTGTTCTTGGCACACCACGCAGCTGGTGAGAACCAACAATAAGCAATGGTAATTGATCCAGAAATCTGTTGTTTTGACCATGATCATCGACCATGCCAAAAGCGGGCAAGCTGTACGTTGTTGTTGTAATTCTGGCTCTACTGTGCAACGCATATTGCTCTTCTATCGTTTATGTCTCATTTCTTGCAACCTTGTTAATTCAACTACGACCTATCAGTATTTTTACCTTGAACTCTGGTTAGAAAATATGAACAGTAACAATACCAACAATAATAGCAGCGCTCGCCCTATTGGTAACGACTCACTTGAAGGTAAATAAACATACACATTAGTATATTTTGCAAGCGTAATTTGCAGGCAAAAAGCAATTATAAACTACTATGTTTTTATGCGTTCCTACTCTGTGCAACTGTACCTCTTTGTTGTAGTGCTTGGTCAATTATCTACAGAGATTGGTGCTGGACTTACTAAACAACAGATATCGATCGCAATGGGTCTTCTGCGTCAGGGTGTCAATCCAAGCGCACTTGTTGCTATTACACAGGAATTACGAAAAGAAGCGCGATTCGCTGTTAATCAAACCAAACAGCAACAACAACAACCAAAACACAGCCAACTTGCTAGGTTAGCTTAGTATTTGTAAAAACCCCCCCCTACTCTTCCAATTATCTTGTCTACAAGTTCTCCACAAAATATAACTGTTAAGAAAACTTATTCCTGACTTAGAGTAGTCATCACTAATCTAAATGTTCTTGTTATGATCTCTACGCCTTGGGATACTTGGTGCTCTTCTTGAGGTGCTTGGTGGGTTTCTGCGGCTGATCAGCAGAGCTCACGGTTTTTCCACGCTGGAAACGCTCAGGAACTCCCTTTTCCTTACGCAGGCTAAACAGGATATGCTGGAAGTTTAAAACACCAGCAGTATCACGGTCCCAATGGCTTAGATTAGGATACGGATCAGAATGCGAAACAGAAGCAGGATCCCGTCGCACCTTTGGCTCAAAACAATTATCGTTCATACAGTAGAGAAAACCATGGTTAGCTACCGTTTTCCTGATGACCTAGCTTTTCTTGGAAGAGCTTTGAGTCTCAAAACACATCCAATATATCCAGACAACTCTATATGCTAGGCAATGTTTCCTGACCAATTTTTCTTTTCATACAAACCAATCAAATGTATTCAAAGTGATAGAAATTTGTCGGATACCGCGCATTCATTCATTTTACCTAACACTATCCATAGACGGTCGGACGGTAGGACAAAAGCTAACAAAGTGCGTAAAACAGATTATATATAGGAATGATGAATGTCACTGCTGCTAAGCAAACATACCCGATCCATTAACACCAACCACCAGTTAGTATGCAATGCAAATAGAGAAACCACTAGTTGGTTAATGAAAGAAACAGAAACACGACTCTATATCCAGGGACAGCAAGTATGAATAAACAGAAACAAAATCATAAAACTTTAATGTTAGTATATATCATGCCAGTTTCCCAAATGTAAACAGCTCACAAAAGCTGCAAACTGATGTTTATTTTCCAGTAGAGACATTCATATCAAAAAAAGGTCTAGTCAGACTTGGCAACCTTCTTGACACCCTCACGGAAACCATTCTTAAAACGAATGTTGACAGTCTTCAGGTAACGCATGCGGCCAGTACCGGTGGTCTTTCTGCGCTTAGCCTTCATGCCCCAGTTAAACGAGCGAATTTTAGCCGCAGGGTATCCGCACGACGCACAAGTCTTCTTCTGGTTGTGATATGCGCGGTTGCCGCAACGCCTGCACAGCGAGTGCGACTTGGTGTGGCGCTTACCAAAGCTGGTCGTACCCTTGGACTACAGTTTTTATCAGAAATTATAATTGCAAGTGATTCAAAAATAACCAGCATCAAAATGCATTAGTATAAGTAATAACGCTTTCAACACTATTGCTGCGGTTATATATGCTGCTGTTGAAATAGCTGCAGAATCAAGTCAGCCTGTTGTTCTGTCTCGTTTACAGTGTCGGAGAGGAGAGTCACCTTGAAATAAAATAGATTCCGGCTGTTCTGTCATAAAAACCTCAAATTCCAACAGAAAGTCTGTCTTAATCGTCCACATTCTGTCGTGTTGCTGCATGCAAAAAGTATTGGACAAGTGTAGGGTAGCAGTAGCTTAAAGCACATTGCTGAGTATTACATACACTAGCAGTTAAACCCGCTTGTCGAATAAATGTCTCCAAATTAAATACACGGAAGCGAATTCGAATCCAACTTGGGTCGCCAGTTTTTTTCTGCATTTTTTGCGTCCACAGCCAAAAGGCACATAGCCCAAGGGTATTATCTTTAAAAGCGCATCCATCAATAATAACGATGGATTCAAATCGTTTTCTCTGCTATCCTGCAAATTGTGTCGCATCCATCGTTGTTTCCTTAGCGCTCTCCTCCTCCCTGACACAGCTCAATCGTGATATACGTCGTGTACTGACCATTTTTTAGGAATATAGAACCTGCCGCAGAAAAAATAATCGAGGGTATAGGTTATGCGAAAGAGAGATTCCTTAAACGCGACCACCCGCTCAAGCTCTGCGCATATCGTAATTTGCAACAGTATCGGCGTTGGCGTATGATTATTTTGGCGGGAGTTGGTATAGCGGGTTTGCGCCAATCAGGCAGTGCGTTTGCGTTGCAAGGTGGGGAGGTCTTCCCCTATTTACAACTGCCAGCTTCTTGACACAACTTGTTGATCGATCACAAATATTATTAGATCTGTTCTAATCAGTTATATAGATTTGAAAGCCATATTTTCTGACTTGTCATTGAAGATGAATGAAGGAGATTTGCCATCGGCCAACGAATCTGACTTGTTTGTTTCGTGTCAATGTTTATGTTGCGCCCAGATTATCAAGACTTTTTCTTTTTTTGCCGGCGATCGGTAAAAATGGATATCCAACAACAAACGAAGCCAACACCCCCACTTTTCAATGACGGAGGAGTATGCGAGAAATGCAATAATAATTTTAATTGCACCATTACAGAATCCTCATTAACTGAAAATATCACCTTCACACTCTTTTATTTCACACCACAACAGACAATTGGAATGGCATGTTTACTTTACACGTGGGAGTTTTCTAATTTGTCCAAAAAAAGCAATGTCAATCCGATATTAAATCGAAAAAATCTGTATAAAGAAAGGCAATCGTATTTCAATTTTTTTATTTGATAAGAAAAATCCTTTGTCTTCGGCTTTAATTTCAACATACCTCCGGTAATATGTAGGAAAAAAAATAAAAAGGACGAAACAATTTATGCAAGATGGATGTACCGAAAATAAATACATGCAAAAAAAATTTGGATTGGATAAAACAATTTGTTGAGATTTACATGGTCATGAAGCAGCATTTTTTTTTTTTGTAACCTGAAAAAAAAAATATAGGAGAGAGAAAAAAACAGGTGCTTTTTTTTTATGCGGTTAATTTGCTGTTGGCCACACAATTTACGCAATGAGAAAATAATATGTGAAAGAAAAACTTTTTATCCTCACAGCATGTGCTTAAAGCACCTGATCCTTAATTACACCAATGAAAAGCCGTAGCTATGGTATTATAGGAAAATGGCTTTAGTAACGCCAATCGCTCTGTCATTCATCGATGTTTAGTCCTTTTTTAGAAAAAGAAAAATCCCTTTTTTGTCTGTCTGACCGTAGACAACACTAAGATCGCCGATTGCGCACTATCTGCTAAATCCCAGCCACTTCGCAGATATTTAAATTGCTTGTGTGAATATGAAAAGTAAAATTGATCAGAAAACATCGTTTACTGTGGGACTTGGTCTGCAAAACTTTAAACGTATTTGAATGGGTTACCCCATGTTAAAATCATCCGACTGAAAGTTAACTGTTAGCAAAAACATCCAAAAAGCTACTTTGACGGAGTGTCGTACTAGTTCACTACCAATATTACATAAAAGAATAATGGATAAACTAAACAGTAAAAAAAATTCCATAGCGGGGAATCGAACCCCGACCCCCACGGTGAGAGCGTGATATCCTAGCCGTTAGACTACTACGGACTACTTTGTCAATTTAATCAATAAAATTTTAGTATCATATTTAATTTGTAGTAATTTAATGGCATTAAATATAACAATTTTTTTCTGTATAACGAATTACTACAGTGAGGGCTCAATTTTAATTCATGATGTTAAAACTTTTTTATTTTCTAAAATTTTAACTATACATGTGATGCCACAGAACCCAAATTGTCTGTTTTTGCAGACTGCATTAATGACAACATTATTGGTCTAGAACTTACTTTGCGACTACTGGTACAGACAACTGGGGCTTCATTAGTCATTAACTTTAAATATTTATAATATATTTTAATGCTATTTCTAACAAAGCCAAGTCTATTTCAAACTTTTGGCAGTTCGACTCTAGTCTGCAAAAAAAAAAAAAAAAAATTCAACTATTTTTAGCACGAGTATACTGTGCTCTCTTACCTATCAGTAGCTGCAACACATCATCGAAATTATAAAAACAGCAATTTAAACAATAAACGTTATATTAATATTTGAGGTATTCACGACTGCATAAATCAAAAACATTATTTTGTTAAAGTTTTGAAATAACTTCAATTTCTATTCTATGGGCACAAACAGACGTTACTAATAATAAACAAGAATGAATGGAATTGATTATGTAAAGTAGACAGCTATGGCGTTGAATTATTATTGGTTTGGATGGATTATGAGAAGTAAAAGATGATCGATGCATCTGACATAACACTCATAATTATTCCTGTTTAAATAATTTTGGGGGAAAACACACAAAAAAACGAAAAAGAGAGAATTGTAAAGAAATTGTTAGCAGAGAAAATGTCAATCGGTTATTTTATAAGTTATGTACGAAAGAAAATCTACAACCACGATGTCGGATTTCATGGTGAACGACAGTAAAAAATATTGATAAATTTCAGAATTGTGATAAAAAAAACCCCACATAAAAACAATATGACACACAGATCTCACAGACAAGGCAATTTTACTTGGTCTCCTGTAAGAAAAAAAATACCATAGACAAATTTATGCGGCTATTATGCAGTGTTTTTTTGGAGATCGTCAAATATTAGCTCGGCGAAATCAATAGATGCAGGAAAAGAAAAAACTGCCGCGTATCTTTGTGTATAAGAATAACACAATTTCATTCAACCAATGATTGTATTTGTATTCGATGAACGTCTCTTTTCTCCCCCTTTTCTTATTTTCCGCAAGGGAACTTCAAAGATAAAATCAAAAAAAGCGAGAAAAATAAATATAACTCTTTTCAATCTATATTTTCCAATGCGCAATTTCAAATCTACATACTTTCTAATAACATTTTAAAAGCATAACAACAATTCTCTAATAAATTGGTATAAATAGTTGGAAAACATTTTATTGTTTGTAAACAGACTTGGTTAACATTGCTACATTGCTAAACATAGCTGTACATGTCCCCCTTTCCCCCTTTTTGTCCGCACCCCCAAGAAACAAATGTGATAAACATGATGTATGTGTGGAGCAACAAAAAAAAAGTGGGGAAACATTTGCAGATTTCACTGCGCCCCTGCAACTAACATCCACCAAAAAAGACTTGAAGCCAAGTATATTGTTGTAATGCATGTAGCCGGAAAAGAACCCGTGTGTATCAATTTCAAAAACAGATGGCCACAGACATGGCAAAATGCCAGATGACATGTTAGTCCTGTATTTACATGCCGTAAATCATTTATTCTTCTATTATTTATTATGTATTTGTCTGTTTATCCTGCCGGACTTCCCCGGGCCGAGCAGAATCTGAAATAAAAACCAACACAACGATGTTGTGTCTATAATACAGTTTAAATGTTGGCATCTTGTACACAATGTACAAATAAAACAAATATATTCAATGTCCGTTAGTATGTCTGGAGACACATGGCATGTTGTCTGTTGCACCTATATACCGGCTCGGAGTAGTCTCGGCAGATTTGCCACGAAAACAAGACAAATTAGTAGCTCATGTTTATTTTTGCACTCCTACATGCACTAGATGCATTTGCCCAAATTTTTTTGCAAGAAATAAATTAAAGATAGCGACATAAAGACAGCTCATTTAATTTGCCGATTTGCGCGCAGAGATGTAGATCGTGTGGATAAATGGCAGATACGTCAGGTCGCTCTTTTTCTGCTATCGCATTCCCCCTTTTCCACTTTCTCTTTCTCAACAGATGCATGATAGGCGTACGTGTTCATCCGCATGCAAAGAAAAAGTGGCTGTGCACTTTTCCTACTCAACAAAAACAAATAAAAACGAATATGCCGATCAGCCAACATTACCCCCCCCCCTTATTGCCAAGGTTAGTTTGACATTGACCAACCAGAATTGATTCCAACACATGTAAAGTATTTAATTAAACATTGTACTTTTTTACATGCGCAATATCTGGTTTCTACTTTTAGACCACATTAATGATCCGAGTTTTCTCCATATTGAAGAAATAGAACACATTGGGGAAATGAATAGCAGAGTAAAAAAATGGCATGACCCAAAAATTCCCAACACTAACGCCATTCACTTATTTAGGTTTAATTGGTTGTGCACAAAAAAACACTATTGCCATTACACAAAACAATTATCTGCAAAAAAATAGCAACAAAAAACACCACGCCATTTTTCTTATGTTTTGCATAATATTTACATACCCGTATACACTCTTACATTTTACATCATATACATTTCAACAAACTATTCATATGGAATTATTTGTGAATGCGGATGTAAATAAAAAAAAAACATTGTCTACTGCATCATTAACAAGCTATACTCAATATATTTGCAAACCTTTTTTTTCGACAATCACGCTATTAGTTCTGTTATCATATAAATATATACAATTCAAAATTTATATAAAAATAAGAACGCATGCGCCATTAAAATGTAATGTTGTCACACTATACAAAAAAAAACATGACATAAATTAAGTCTGAACCAATTCAGATAATGGTTTATCTCTACTGTGACACATTATCAGAATCAAGCAATCGCAGATTCGAGTCCCTTGTCTCAAACTTCATTATTCACAGACTCGGCAAACGCCTCAACAACTATTCAGTCTGCCTCTCAATGTCTCCGCACTCTCACAGCTCTATCAAATAAGCAATTATTGTGATGTTCCTCGCTCACACCCACTTTCCCTCTCATAGTGGCTGGACACGTAGTCTCATTTGCTGCTTTTCCATTTGCTGGCGTGGTGCACGAGAAGGAAAGAAAATATTGCCAGATTCCCGCTCATGTTTTCTTAATTATTACCCGCAATATGTGGCCATCTATCTTTTCAATAATAAAGGGCTGAAAAGATTCATCTTACACCAAAAAAGCCACATCTTGCCTACTTTTTGCACAAAAAGAGACTGCAGTCATGCGCGCCTTGCTCTGGTGCAAGCAAGTTTTGAACACAACCATGAATAAAACATACAGGAGAAATTGGGGTGATATGCAATTTATTGCAGGTCAACAAAATACATGGCTGTTTTTTTGTTGCTGTCCAGTGCGGACAGCGTCTCGGATGGAAGAATGTACACCAAAAGGGAGTGGAGAAAGGCAGGAGGGAATGATAATATTTTATGGCGTCAAGGCTCAGGGCGCAATGGGTGGCAGCGGGGGAAGCTTGCGGTGCTCGGGCGGCGCATTGAGAAGGTCCATCAGCGACATCGACCGCTGCACTGATACTTTGCGCTGGGTTTGCGTGCCCAGCTGGTGCGACGAGACAGCCGACGGTAGATAACCACAGTTTGGCGACCTCTCACCAAAGTTCACAGGCACACCTGCCCATTGCGGTAGCGGCGCAAGTTGGTGTGTGCTTGGACGGTTAACCACTGCTGGTCGGTGCGGCGAGGAGAATGAAGATGATGGTGGCCGTAGAGCAATCGAGCCGACACCTACATCTTTGGCAGCCGCTGCACCGCTGCTCATGGACAGGCGTTCCGTGCCTGCGCGTGGAGGAACCATGACGACCTGGCTGTTATGACTGTACAGATATTCGAGCCGCGATGGGGTGTCCTCGGTAAACCACTGATCATTGCGGGTGTGTGCATACTCGGGATTAGCCTCGCCCCCACTACTGCCGGCGTTAGCGCCAAACCTGGGATTATAGGCGGAATCCAAGTAGCCGGCCGGCTTGCTGGTGCGCTCGGCCCACGAAGGTAGTAGGGTGCGGGCCACAGCAGCGCTTGGGCTGGTAGCTGGCTGTGCGGGAGCAGTAGCTGCAGCTTCGACGAGAGCCATCAGCTGCTGCGCCCGGGGGCTGTTGCTACTGTGACCAAGACTGTCGGACCCGGTGCTGTTAGCAAGCAACATGTTCGGGACTGCGACGGGAGAGGGAGAGTGGCTGCTTGACGGCGACAGGCTCTTGGTGTACTGGCGCCCAAAGCTGTTCACGTTGGCCATAGACGCCGCCATGGACTTTGTGTTGCGGCTGTGGTGCCCGTCGCGCTGCCGACTAGCTTGCCGCTTGTTCTGGAACCAGATCTGTACTGTGCGCGGCGTCATACCAAGTTCGCGAGCAAGCCGGTTGCGCGTTTCCGTAGACGGGAACGCTGTTTTAAGATAAATATCGTTGAGGACCTTAAGCTGATGCGGGCTAGCGCGCTTCCGCTTGCCCTTGATATGTGGCGGCGCCGCTGGCGTCAGTTCCAGGGTCATTAGCGACTGCTGCGCCGGCGAAATGCTACGTTGATACGGGTGGTAGTTGTGCTGATGTTGATGGTAGTTATGCTGCTGCCGCTGAACGTTGCCTCCAAGGGGGGCCACAGGTAGCAGGTGCTTATATGTAGCGGTAGTTTGACGAGATTCCATTGGTAGTTTGTTATTGCGCGACAAGCGTAACTGCTTGCTAGGGACAAAAAGATGATGTTCTGATGTTTTGAGTCACAGCAATATTAAAAAAAAACAGCGGAGGAAGCTAGGATTTTTATATAAGCAATCTCCCAGTACCTCTTATTCTTGACAAGCTATTGGGGCGGAGAAGATAATTGAAACTTGCAAGCTGGAC